GTCCGTCACCGCTGGCTCGTTGCTTTATCGGCTCATGTACAAAGGAGCTTAGCAATTCACTGTTTTCTAAACTCGGGTAACTAGGGATTAATGAATTAGGCAGACTTTGAAACTATATATGGCGAACATACATTTTCATCTTATATTTTACATCGAAACTTGACAGTTTACAGAATTAAGCTTTCTTTGATAGCTTTGTTTTTGTTTTACCTCTTTAATGGTGGGCTGTAGGTGAGAATATTTCACCTCGAGTTAGTAACTACATCCTCAGTAATTTTGAACTTAATAAAATATGGATACAGGGGGCAGACAGAAGAGAAAATAATACATGCAGAATTAAAAAATAAAGTTCTGAAAATGAAATCATCTGTTTTTTGTCTTCGTTTTACCATGCCTAGAAAGTTTTGATAATTGTACCAATTTTATTACAGTAATTATCCGAAATGTTTTTCGTTATGCAAATGGTGCCTTAAGCTAAGGTCTCGGGACCTGTCATTTCTCAAAAATATGGGTAATTATTTTTTTAGAGAAGTTAGATGAAGACTTGATGAAGACTTTATTCAAGATTCAAGTTAAAATAAGCGATTGAACTGCGATCCCGCCTTTCCCGAATTAATCAAGCTATAAGTTGTTATTGTTAATAACGAAAATGACTAGTTCAGTGAAGATATTAGATATGGAAAACCAACTAAATTAGTTTTTTAAAGAAAAAATTGAGACCACAATAAATTACAACAAAAAAAATGTGTCGTATTTCAATTTTGAAATGCTTTCTCGGCCAGCTAAGCTGCCTTCTTCAGTGATATGACTTCGATCTCCTGTAAACACCAAAAGCTTTTAAAAGTCCATTGAAGGTTTCTAGAAACTAATTATCGCCATTTCTTTGATATTCAGGTATTTTGTTGACGGTTAATTTGGATCACTGAGACACGGGACTTTCTTTGAATTAACGATGTACAGGTGTAGTATACACGTAGCTTACGTGTTATTCCAGGTCAGCTGCACTCGCAATGTCATTCTCCATTTAGCCATCATCTGTCAGTCATTCGGAAAACTAAATTCGAGTCTCGATGGTGACATGTTTACTCCGTATCACTTTTCCTTTACTTGCTGTTTTCTTACCTACAGGTGACTTCAATTCACTTTTTAGAGGATACGAAGCATTTTTTCAATCAGTGAGGTAAGTTCGAGAGATTTGATTCCTTTGCAAACTCTAACTTCGGTTAGATGACGGAATCTAATAAATACGATTGGAGAGACATTATGCAAAATCCTGTGTAGGCCTGACGAAAATCAAGAAGTGTTTAAGTTTTATTCGCTTCTTTTCAATACTTATAAAACGGTTAAGGCATTTGGGATCACTTGTGTAGAGTTGTTGCTTATTCAGAATAAACCAAAAGAATGTCATTATGTTGACCAAAGAAGGAATTAGTGAAAAATGAGTCAAAACACAAAGTATAAATAAGGAGAAAAAACATTCTCGGAAAATAAAATAAACAAAGAGTTTTTGCTTTCAAAAGTGTTAGTTATATCTTGTCGCATCTAAAGGTTTAACTACCCCGCAATTTTCATTGCGGCCAACAGCGAAAAAGTCCTCTATTGCTTTTGTAAGGTATATTTCTCAAATATACACAAGTTTTTAAAATGTAACAACTGTGTTTAGACTGTAAACATATATCCTCATCCGAACCCTTCTATTGATCTCGCGCGTTAAGTCTTTAAAACTGTCTAATTCTTATTCCTGTTTACCAGTGAATCCGAAACGTAGACATGATAAACCCATGATTAAAGGGAGTAAGTTTCAAAAGAAACTATGGTGCTGTGTCGATGGGAGTAACAAGGTAATTTTGGTTTCATCAACTCAGTTGATAATGTAAATTGGCCACCGTGAAGAGTTTCAAAGCTGACATTTCGAGCTTCAGCCCTTAGTCACCATTAACTCAACTTACATTATCAACTCAGTTGATAAAACCACTGAAAATTATATTAAAAACTAGGCCTATGGATGGAATGTTTTGTTTAGCAATACTTGAGAAATGCAAACAAGATTTTAATTTCGGCAAGATAATTTGCCTTTTTTCAAAACAACATTAATGTTCTATACAATAAATTAGCTGATTTATGACACTGAACATCGTTAATAGAGCGAACTATGAAACTCGTAAACTTATGGCTTTGCTATATATTCCTTATTTGAATAAATCAGCCTTTTTGAAACTAAAGGCTCCCAATTTGTACGTGGTTACCATGGTTAAATTTTCAGCCTCGTAAAATGATTTTTCCCGGCCTGTTTTCTGCCAAACGCCATAACTCGCGACGTTCGAGTGGTCGAGGAAATCTTTTAACGTCAAGAGATGAAAAACGATCGTACTATGTCAACTTTAAAAACATCGATTTATTGCGGTAGTTAGTTGTCAGTATTAAAACAATATATATGATAAGGGGTCGTCCGCCCATGCCGAACAACTCGAATAGCATTGGCATGAAACTGCTTTAAAAATAGCCGTGATACAAAAACCGCCATCAATATCATGGTGTCTCTTTACTACCAATTATTCACCAGCTTGGAACTTAACACTGAAGTTCAGTGTATTGGTATTTTTGTTCACAGTTTCACTAATTGCCTGTATTGTTGTTCCTTTCAATGTTCTTGATCCTTAATGTAACGTGTGGAGGCGTAAGGGACCTAATGGCCTTTGTGTCTTTGAGTGGGATATCAAACCGGGAGCATCAATATGAATTTAGACCTACGAGGCTTAATAACTTTCAATATCGAAACAATTTGAGAACTTACTCGACAATCCTAAAAAATACTCGTCTTCGGTTCAATACAAAGCTGGGTATTTTTTTTATACATAAATATATCTCGAGCATGACAAGTGCTGATTACTAAATGAAGATCTGATATAGCATTGGAAGAAGAAAAGGACATTTCGAAGCTAAAACACTCATCAGGATTTACGTTTGTTATTCTTGACCAACAGTATGCACTAACTAAAAAAATATAATTACAAACTTCTAACGAGTGTATAACTGAGGATATATCCTTACGATGAGAATATCTAGGCGAATATCACATGGCTGCGCACTGATATCTGAAATCTCTTCATTTTACCGCGTACAATCTTTGAGAAATGGTTTGTGAGAGTTGAGCGCTTCAACAAACTTTCCTGATTGAACGATACAGTCTTTCGTTACTAGTCTTCCTCGGAATGTCTGGATATTGAGCGGAAGATACTAAGTTGTCTTTTTGGATCTGAGGGGTTAAGGAGATGAATTGTTTACTCATACACCGTTGTGGAAGACGACTTTTCCCAGGTAAATATGGGCACAACTAAGTCGATGTTCGTTCCATAATTTTTCTTACTGTTCATATCATGGCTAGCAAAAACCTCTTTCAAATCTAATTCTAAGCGAATGCATCAAAGGGGTTCGCCACTATAAGAACTTTCTTTCGTTCTTGTCTTCCGGCAGTACATGTTTTGAACTGGATATTTGTTTCGTTTCACACTGCTTGTGGTTCAGCCCACGGCAATGGATTTATTTCGGTGAAGCGAATGAATTTCGATGAAAACTTGCATTCTTTAAAACTTCAGACTGACAGTAAACAAACCAACATGTTGTATTGAATGTTTCACTTCGTAGCACAAATGAAAGTGCTACAGATGCCATATCGCTAAGTTGTTTATTCGATTCATTGTTATGGATACTAGCGATGAATTTAGAATCGAGCTTAAAACAGCTGATAACTAATCCACAACGATGTTTGGGCATTTTACTTTTACTGATGAAACTGAAATAGTTTCCGCAATCTTTATTTTGCATCACTGACAGTTTTTCATTGTTAACCAAATATTTCATCACGGGATCGATATGTGAGGTTAGCGCTCGTTCAAACGTTTAATTAATGCTTTTTAATGACATTTCCAAACCGTTGCAATACGTTAACCGAGACAATATGATTACAAATCTCTTCTAAAAAAAAACCCCTTCTCCCACCTCGCGAGGGGGGAACCTTTGGAAACCCCGATCAGGATGCAAATTTGAATAAGTTTCATTTAGTCAGTTTGTTCAAGAGAATATTATTCGTGTGAGACTGCGTTCAACACTGTTAAACGAAAGAAAGAAGGTGTTTGAAAGTGAAGAAACCAGACTCCATGACAAGTGGCATAGAGTTTGGAAAGTGCCATGCCTTCAATTTAAATTGCGAACTGCAAAAGATTTGAAGCCATTCTTTGTCCAGAGGGCAATTTTTGTTATTACTAAATTAGGAAGTACACATTTCACGCCCCGCTATCCCTGCTTTGGCCAGTTTCCTTTTATCGGAATTGGTAGGGTGGACGGTTGACTTGTCGGCAAATTAGAACTAGACAGTTCTGAGATCTGACCGATCTGCCTGTGGTCTAACTGGTCCTGCCTTTTCTGAGAAGAGACAGTGGTCACGCTCCAGCAAGGACTGCCGTAGGAAACGCATGAATTTTGTATCTCTGTTGTTGCAGATGAGTATCGTAACGATATTCTTTCTGGCAGACCTTTGCTCGTGAAAACACGCGCGCAAGAGATCCATCGCTCGCGCGAGAGATCCATCGCTCGCGCGCGCGCATCATGTGGAGAAGATTTTCAGTTTCTATGTGGACTGTAGTAACCAGTTTACTCTATTGTGCCAGACTTCGTTAGATGGAAAGTTCCCTCTAATTACTGAGTACAGCTTTTTTATTGACGAGATACGCGTCGCTTAAAACACGCGTAGCCGTCTTTAATGTCCGTGCTTTTGATAGGAGAGTTTCTTTGCAAACAGGTGACGGAGTAGTCTTTGAAAGCTACCTAAACATTAATTCGACCTGAAAGGTAAATATTTTGTGCGTGATTAAAAGCCTATTTCTATTTTCTATCCTGTGGATATTTCAGGGAATTAATTAGCTTTCACTTCTCCCGTTCGTTGCCAAAAATAAAGTGACACCTTTCAGAGCTTCTCAAAAATAAAACGATCACGATTATTAGATGCACGATGGACTCCCGCGGCTCTCCACAACCCTGAAAGCATCCATCTGTTCAATAGGATCATTATCACGTTTTGTCTGTTTTTTTTTTTTTTTTAAATTTTTTTTCGTATTTGATCCTGTTCGCCACTTGTTCGAGCTTGAGTTTAAATAAATGACTGACTTGGCACGCTGAAAGACAGGAAAGCGAAAAATTACGGAGCGGTTTGTCAAACTATAATATTGACAATACGATTGCTATTAATTACTTCATTTTTTGTCATTTATTTTTATTTGATTTTGTTAACCATATCGTAACACACTTGTCTGAGCTAGAATTTCACTTTCTGAGTGACCTTACAAACTGAAAGCGAAAAATTACGGAGCAGTGGGTGGAAAAGGTTAGAACAGGTTTTATGAGTTCAGTTATTTCATATATCATGTGATAAAAGAAAATTTTAGAGGCTTTTGTTGAAGTTCACCATCCTTGGAGCGAGCTTCTACGTCCTAAATTTTTGGTAGGATTTTAGAGTACGAAAGTGCTCACGTGTCGTATTTCGAAAGTTCTCTATTAAATATCTGAAACTTCTGAAAGATTAGAAGAGATTAACCTTCCGTCGGATTTGAGATTGGATTTTTCCCAATCAATGGATAGCAACCTGTCATTTGTGTAATGAAAAGAGGTATGCCCGAAAAGTGCCTCGCCCTCCCAACGGGTTCTCACTACCTCTTTTTAGAGGTATACGACTCCTAAAATACCTAATTTTCATCGAAGTCAAAATGGTAGGGCTAAAGCTACCAAATTTTGTGGTAAAGTATTAAAGTATAGCATGAATAAACAACAGCTGTGGAGTTTTCGTCGAAAGCCGAAGGTTGATTGATTTCGTTCGTGCGAATCGTGTGCCTCGCTTCCACGCTAGCGTGACGCTGGTTCCAATATATTCATAACAAAACAGCTGAGTTCCGATCACCTCGCAGATCAAAGAAATAGTTCGCTTTTTGTCGCTCGCTAAGTCGTTATTAAACTCGCGACAAAAATGCCAGTTTCCGATTCTCTAGAGGCCCTTTCCATGAGGCAAGAAGCCAAGAGGTTTGAGTCAGTAAGCCCAAATATTCAATCTTTATACGACCTTTTGGAGAGAATCGATAACGTCCCTCTAAAACGCAAGATTCGAGAGCTCGTGAATCGCATAGAGGGTAAGTAGACAACTTGGAGTTTTTATGCCCGTAAAATACGTTGAATGTTAAAATTTGTACCATCGCTGAATTGTGATGTAAAAATAAAAGTTGTTTTATTTCTTTTAATTTCTATAAGGGAAGAAATTGTCAACTTCTATCCGACAGAGCCTGTCTGTTCTTAAAATTGCAGTCAGCGAAGAGACGAAAGCGTAAACGTTTTTGTATGTCTGGAAAGATAAACATAAAACCGACCTACTTGACTGTGCAATTTTTGTGACAGATAGCGAATTGTAAACATCATAGACGCCGTAAAATTCTGAACATTTTTGTGATGTGTTGTACTGGCTTCTAAATTATATTTTTCTGACAAACATTTGCTGCTTTTGTCCTAAGTCGCGCACGTTTTCAAATCGTGCAAGTACAGTAGCGGGTATTGTTGGGGAAATTTGGAATAGGCTTGAATCCTGCTGTTCAGATTTAAAAGCTACCACGAGAAAAGTTAAGCTTCTATCTTTTGGCAAACATATTATTTTTTATTTGGTAAAGCCACAATCGAGGAATGGTCGGTTAAATTGGATTTAAAAATTAAATTTCAAGCGCCAAAACGTTGATTTGTGATACACGCCGTGACAGAGTATTATTGAAAGCACCGTGCGCAAACATTTTCTGGCGTAATTTATATTTTTCAACGCTAAATATTGCTGTTGGTATTTGCATCCGAACTCGTGATTTCACAACATTGAAATCAGAAGACAAAGACGTTTTCGAATTAGGCAGACTGGTTTGTATAAAATACTGTTCGTGGATAACTCATGCTATTTGGACTTTGCTTTGAACGCACATAAGAGCAATGTTGACTGCATTTTGAAATATAATCTGTGAACTGTTTACTTATTTAGTGGAAGAAGAAAGTGAAGGCAATTTTCAATTTTTTCTTAAAGACTTTCGTAAAATTATGGTCATTGTTAGTTTCATATGACCTATTATCTGATGTCAATTTCACTGGTGACAGAACACATGAAAATTCTTGGAATGAGTGTATTTCGATCCATGTGCCACACATTCACTAATTAAATGCGATCGTATCTTATTTGCATGTTGTTGTGGCGTAAATCTAAATTAAATAGACTTCCTGCCTCTCGAGAAATACAATGAATATAAACAACGATCTGTTTTTATTCTTAAGACTGTATGTGCTAAAATTGGAGTTACATTAGAAGAACACAGCCTTTTTTTACATCGATCCGAGTGTACATGAGTAATTCTCTTAATTCTTCAAAACCGTAAATGCGGTTGTGGTTAATGGGATACTTGACTTTTATATTCAAATATCTTTCCCCTACGAGTTTGAAATTATTTGCGTTTTACCTTGAAGATACCAATATATTCTAATGATGTCAACATATCTGTGTTCCAAGATAATTTGTTTTGAGAAACTTACACTCATCCTTAAGTACTGTGACATTTGCTATTTCAAGATGCTATCAAAATGTGTCTGTAATGGATACTTGATTTACACCCCAGAGTTATAGTAAGTAACAACTAATTCAGTCACAGACTTGAAAAAGTATAATTTCATTTTGCAAATTGAGGAAAACATTGCACCAAGAAAATATTTATCATGTAACTGTAGAAGTGTATTAACCTTTTGTTAGCTGAGAATAATTTCAAAAATAATTTTTTTTTTTGAGGAATGCAATATTGTTAAAGAAATATTATATTAGACACTTTTGTTGGTATCCATACATGGATATCAATATAGCTATGAATTCTCTGTCTTTCCCAAACCTTTGTCATAACTGTGGGCTAACTGTCTGCCAAAATTCAGACTTTTACTCACAGGCCCTTTTGTTATACAGTGTTAAAATTTTGTGACTCAGGAAAAATCTGTTTTGTCATAAGTACATAACTGGCTTCTTGTTAGTTCAAAACACTACTCCTGGTTAAAAAATGACTTGTGGATTGCCAAAAACTATTTGCAGGCTTGCTAAGCTTTTCTACAACAGATTTAGTTAGAGGAATTCAAAGTAATGAGGGAACAATCTCTCCTCTTCATCAAATATTTATTAGAATCCTCTTATATCCTCCAAAATATGTACTAATTAGCCGAAATGATCCTCACTTTTAATTCTAACATACTGATCCTCTGAGGAGAGCAAAGAGACAAAGTAAATAAACCCAAGATTGTGTGATGATTTGATTCTCGTAGGTAAACTGTAATAGTAATTATAGTAGTGTAGTTTATGTCTGACCACTTGCAGCCTGAAGCTGAATTACGGATGGAGTTTTTAAGGTTGAGAACAGATGTCAGCATATCAGGTGCCTCTAGCAGCAGCTTCAGTCTATCAATCTCACCTTCCCACCCATCCCATACCCACCCATCCCACCCCAGGGAAGGACATCCATCACACAGTAATCTCATGTGTGGGAAATTAACGTCTCCTACCCCTAACCCTGCAGGAGACAGGACCTCCATTCATTAGTCCCTATCCGAGAAGACTGGAATATCTAACCATTTTTGAAGTTATAGAAAGGAAGCAAATTCTTCTCAATTATTTTAAGACCTTGAGTATTGGTCTGGCCGGGACTCAAAGCCTTGACCTCCCACACAATAGTCCAGTGCGCTATCCATTGGGCTAACTGGGCGGTGGTAGTCAAGTCAGTTGTAATGAATGATTAAAAACCTCCCTACTCCCCTACCGAAAAACTGAATAAAGGTCTCACGGAAAAAGGAAATAACTCAGACTTACATGAGGCTTAAACTAATGCCACCAAAGCAATACAGATGGTTTTGAGCACTTGTATAAACTAAACTGTGTAGCCAGAAATTATTTGCAGCATCTAATGCTAGTCTAAGACTAGGTATGATTGCTGATTGTCACTTTTTTTCGTGTTTAGAATCATTCCTTAACAGTCCTGAGTTTACAACACCCAGAGTGGACAGTAGCTGTGAACTAAGACTGGTGAGCCCAGGATAATAAACTCTTTCTTTCGATAATCTGCTTTACAAATGTGGGGGAGATTACATATTGCGGGTAGACAGTGAAAATCTTTATCTCATTTGTGTTTTGGCCAGCTGTTCTTTTGGGAGATTTATGTCATTCTTATATAAAAGTTGGGGAAATAACTTGAACTATGTTGTGCAAGTCAAATATGCTAGCCATCCCTGCTTCTACTATTCAGATTTCTAGAATTTCCTAAAGACTTGCAAAATGCTTTTAAAAGATTACTTGTGAGTTCAGAAAGAGAGAAATGCTCCTTTTTATACAAGATTCTTGACTTAATCGCTTTTTTTTATTCTCTTTACCTAGTGTATCATTTTTATGGTACTCTTTGGATCTTTAAAATATGTTTTTCATGCAAGATCATTTGTAAGGGAAGGAACTCTCATTTGTTTGGCTTGTTAAGAGCATTCAGATGCAGAAAACTTACCCTGATGCATTTTACACTTAACATTTGTGGCTTAGGAAGTAGGAAATCTGTGTTTAATATGCCAGACAATTGCTAAGATGATTTGTCAAACCTGTGATCCTGGCATGCCTTATGACTTTATAACCTTCTGAGTATCACACAGTCATTATTTCACTTTGATAAGTATTTGACAACACTTAATATATATCCTTCACAGGGCATTGTTGGCAGCTCTGTTTCAGGGAAGTCTGACTTATTACACAGATATCTGACTGGTGAATATGCCAAGGTAGATTCCTTTACGGGACGTCACAAAAAGGAAGTGTGTTACGAAGGACAGAGCCACCTTTTGTTGATAAGAAATGAGACTGGACCTCCAGATGTGCAGGTAATAAATATGTCAAAGGGGAGCAGTTTGTGATTCAATGTTGCTTGAATGTGCTTTGTGAAAAGTGAAAAGAATGATATTTCCAGACTGCCAGTTAAATCGCACAGGGATCAACGAATGCTTTTCATTCCACTAATGTATTCTTGTTTTTCTCCTTGCCATGTTCCCACCAATAACGTAGCTCCATTCTCTGCCTTTAAAAGCACACACAACCCACAATTCCTCTATTYGCTCGGACGAAGGGCTAACGCTCGAAACGTCAGCTTTTGTAATCGTTACAGTGGCCAATTTACCACTTCAACTTTGTTGATATATCCAAGTTATTTCGTTACTCCCACTGACGCAGCCCCAAACAGTTTCTTTCAAAACTATCAGCCTTTATCCTTAGCAAGAATGAGTTTTGCTAAGAAAATGTTTGATGTTGTCTTGGTTTGCGCAGGGTGTGAAAAAACCTGGATGCTTAATACATTTCTTCAATGTAATTATTGAGGCCTGATTTGAATATGGGTCATGAAAAGTCTTGGGAAATGAGTGTGCTGTCAAATCATATTTTGAGAAAAACAGAGAAAAAAAAAGGCTTGATATATCTAATTGCACATCATTTTGGAAACCATTTCCCAATCATAGTAGTACATATGAAAAATCAAAAAGGATCTTGTCCCATGGTGAAAGGAAACAAGTGTAAGGGAAATAATTTCCCTTACAACCACAACTACTTCTTTTCACTTGCCTGCATGTTAGCTTGTCCTCATCAACTGGGAGCTTAGAGCAGGCTAAAGAGATCTGGAAAGGGTCATGATTTGGGAAGTTGTGGAATGTTATGATGTCAAAGAGGTGCTGTCTCTCCCACCATTCCCATACCATTTTCAAAATGTTTTGTTTTTCTTCTCTTTTACAGTTTACTCAATGGGTGGAAGCAGTCATTTTTGTTTTCAGCTTGGATGATGAGTTGAGCTTCAGTGTTTTATCAGGGTATTATGCCAAAATGACTCAGTACAGAAAATACATCTCTGATGTCCCTGTGGTTTTGGTTGCTCTAACTGGTGAGAATATTTAGCAAATAAAGTGTTGTCTTATTGCCTCTGGGAACAAGCCAAAATGGCTTTGAGTTAGGAAACTTATATAAAATCATTCATTCCAAAAATTACAGCCGTAGTACACTGATAAAGTGGTATAGTGATACAGTGCTAGAAATTATGTATTATATTTGTAGAATTTTACATGTTTACATTTAAAGTTATATAGCGCAGACTTCTATGTGGATATATTCAGTTGCGCTTAACAATATAGTATTGTTGAGATAGGACGTCAGCATTATTATCAGGCGCCTCTGGCAGCCGCTTCAGTCTATGTAGCGATCTCACCTTCCCACCTATCCCACCGGGGAGGACATCCACCATACAGTAATCTCGTGCAGGGGAAATTTACGTCTCCTACCCCTAACCCTGCAGGAGACGGGACCTACGGCTTTACGTCTTATCCGAGAAGACGAAGCAATGTGAGTGAAGCGTCTTGCTTAAGGTCACAATGTCATGCCCCATGACATTGTGTCCTTAAGCGTCTTGCTTAAGGACACAATGTCATGCCTGGACTTGAACCCAACGGACCCAGAGTCCAGCGCAATGACCACTGGACTACTCACGCCTCACGTGAATTAAACAGAATTAAAGAGAAATATGTTATGTTAGCATTAAATAGAGTAACCTTCAGGCCAAGAATGGGTGGAAAGGCTAAATTTTCCGGTAGGCATCCCCTCGCTATGTGATCATCAACCCTCCGCTAAACGTACGTCTTAAGTAATTTGAAAGGTTCCCCTTTCCCTCGAGACAATGTTGCCTGAAATAATTGCATTTTGCAACACCAGGCAATATTGAAATTCGGCCGTTGGAACTCATTACAGTTATGTAATTAAGGCGAAACAAATTTGGGACTTTGACAACCGACCGCTTAATACGGTGCCGCCTAGTACAGGTTCGACTGAAATAGAGCGAGGAAAAACTTTTGCCAGTCATTGTTGCTATAAAATAACTCTTCGAAGTATAGTAGCTGGCTTTAATACCTTTTCCACCGATTGCTTTTAAATAGATGGTGTTACAAGCATCGAACAACCAGGCATTGTTGCCACGAATCGAATAAAGAAGCTTATCTCCGACCTCAAGCACTGTGTTTACCTTGAGGCTTCAGCCCTAACAGGAGACAATGTGGATCGTGTTTTTAATACAGGTTAGTTCTGTTAAAAGTGACTTATTCCCTAGAGGAGTGGCGGCCAGGGTGTGGGGCAGAGGTAGGCGACCGCTCCACCATATACAATAGGAAGGTCATAGAGGGTAACTGAACGAGTAGTCCATTCACATAAGCGAGAATCGTCAGTAACGATGGCTGACTTTTTAACGGCATGAAGAATGATGATCGACCTACGGTGTAAGGCCTCACTCTTTTATTACAGAACGAATTTGTACCGACTGGAAACTTTGTTTCAACGGAACCATTTAGTATTAACGAGGAACTGACCAACCAATTGAGTTTTAAGTTTTGTTAGTGGTTTTATCATTTACTGTATTCATTCGGTAAGAGCCACTTAAATAAAACCAGAATGGCGTCTCTGGGCTTCGTTAGCGCGCATCCGTGTCAGCCACGCCTTTGTTGCACAAAAAAAACTTATAAACAGTCTAGGCGCTGGTGAAAATTTGACCGCTCCAGTTGAAATTAACCCTGATTTTACAGATTCGGCTTCTAAATATTCGTTTGTTTAAACTGGTGTCGTTAAAACGGAACACCTGAACACGCGAATTTGGAACTGGTAGCGAACTCATCTTGAACCGTGAGAACGAAGCTTCAGTTTCCTCCAAACGCTCAAACGTGGATGGAAACTGACGTGAAGCAGTTCTCACTGAAAGAAGTAAGGCGTGGCAAGAGATGGTTGAGAAATTCCCGTTGGTAGAAAAAATTATATTTCTGGTCTATAAAATTTGGAGGAAAATAACTTCTTCTGTTGTGAATTAAGGAAAGGATGTTCGGATTGTTGGGTAGTCGGGAAAGAATGTCACTGGCCAGTGAGAGGTAATCCCGTAGAGTGAGGCGAGTTGAGTTCTCTCCCCAGATCTCTCTTTGTCCTCTTTCTGTATCGTAAGAGGCTTTTTCTGAAGTATTTTTAAACAATTCTCAATTCTCAAGTTTTGATGTTGAGGTCATTTTGGGCTAATGCTTTTTAAAGATAGTAGGTTCCTGGTGATGTTTTTGTTGTTTAGCATTTAGAATAATTGCCTTTTGCGTCGGTTTTTGATTCCTTGTGCACATGTACGGAAACCGCTCCGTATTCAATAATTATGGTTATATTTGCTGTTCTGAACTGTTATCGGATTTTATGCTTGCTCCTAAGTATTGCTTCAATAGGTTTCTTTTTGTAATGGACAAAAGGCTTAGGTGATAAGCATCTCGTGGAGATAAAATTTCAATCTGGAATGCTTTATCTTCACTTTATCAGTGTTCCGAATCAAAGTCTTCATTAAATGCCCCACTTTTGAATCTTTTATTTGAAATTGTCTTCACCTTCTTTTGTTCTCTTAATTAGTTCATCGGCGAGTACTTTTACTTAATCATATTTCTTATTTAATTTTTTACGCGAGCTTGTTCTTCATCGAGTCATAGACATAATAGTGTACAGTGGAATCCTGATTTCTCGAACCCTCGGTTCCTCAAACCTCCCGATATCTCAAACCAAACCTTGTTTCCCCTGGATTTCCTTCACTTGTAATTTTATCCCAGATTTCTCGAACCAATTTGCGTTTCCCCTCGAGGTTCGAGAAATCGGGATTCCACTGTATATGTATTATTGCACTGAAAGGTTTTTTTTAGAGAAAAGGTTAAAAGTCTTGATCTCTGTTTTCCAATCTTAAAATCCCAGGAGATACACAAATAAACCAATGAAAGGAGCTTAAATTTTAACGTTCTTGGGTTTATTTCCTGGCCATTAAAGGGTTTCCTCATAGATTTTATATTTCACCGATCAACTCGGTGGCACTTACGGCAGTCTATTGGAAATCAGAAATGATTTGTCCAAATTTTAACGGTGCGAGAGATTTTCTGTGAAATTTCACAGGTCGCGTATCCTCTTCCGCGCGAATAAGTGGATTGAGTGATTTGTATACTTCTGCGACGTTCGAATTTTGTAGGAGATTCGTTTTATGGGCTTCGCGAATTTCTTACGAGTAGTCCACAAGATTTCGTGTAACGTGAAGAAAGCATTTAAAAGTGTCGCGGTGAGAATAGAAATCAACTGAATGGAAAATTTGATCTTAACTAGGAAATAAGCATGGTTGAGAATGGAGAAAAAGGATGCGGATTACGAACGATTGACTCACTTAGAGCTCGCCTCAATGTGTTTTGAGATGGAAAAATCGTGACGTCGGGTTTTGTAAAGGGTCACCAAATATGAGTTTTCTGTATCACGCTAGTTCCGCTGTTACGAAAACTTTCTCTGCTAGATTAGGAACATCAATCCATCCCAGGTCAATGTTTGATTATATTCTTGCATGACTCAGTTAGTTTTTTGGGGCAGTTAAAGCAAACAAAAAAGTAAAACTGATTAAAACAAAAAAAAAAACCAAAAAAACAAGAAAACTCGGGCAATGCTTTTTGATGAGATTCGTTTTGCATTTAGGTCTATTCAGTTTTCGCAAGGGTCAGTTTCAATAATTTCAAAGCCCTTGCGTTCCAAGCTAAATGTCTTTCCATTTGTAATTTTTTTTTTTTTAATCATGAACACGAGATACTTGAAAGAGGTTTTAGTAGAAACATTTTCAACCCCAGTTGGTTCATTCCCAGTAATGTATTAAAGTATTCTTGAGTTGTTTGATTTTCTTATGAGAAATTCATTGTTATATCTGTGAATGAAGGGAATTGGACAGAAATGGGGTGCATTGTGCGAGAAGGAACAAATATTTGTCATCGACTGAAATATTCGATGACAAAATCGTTCAAATTTCTACCGTTTTCATCATTATTTTCACCGGAAGCCACGAATTCTAAGGAATCTGATTGAAAGAGCAAGAGCCTGCGGGTACATTGGTAAATTGACCGGAACTGTTCGCGCTCGTCTTCTGACTTAACCGGAAATGATATCCATTTGTAATATTGGTAAATACAGTAGGGCAGTTTACATTAACTTGGCCTCACTGCTTCAGGCTAGTGTAAACGTGTCAACTACAACTGAAAATTTTAATAAGTTCGTGAATTATCAATGTTATGGGCGTAATTTTCTTTCTCACTATATTATATTTGTGATTTCAGGTTTGAACAAATATTTATGAAATCCGAAACGCGAAAATGAAATGTTGTTATTTATGTGGGAACCGCTGACCAATAATCATGCTTCAGTCGACTGAACTCGACTGTACTGATTGATGGGAAGAAATCTGTGATGTTTTTTTTTCAAGGTTAAATCAGTGAAAAAAAGAAAAATTTATAAGGAAATATTTCGGAAATTTTGACGGTACAACGTGGTGGAAAGAACCAGTAGTTTCTAGCCCGTGCGTGTAAAGGGCAGGCACATTGAATATACATTTAACGATCGACTCCACCGGAGATAGGAACAATACACGAATTATTCTTTTGTGTGGCAAAGAAGTATAGTTTGGAATTTTCTTCGCAGTACAGACGACTGTGAACTAAGGAAATTATTTAATCAAGCCCTTGTGCCATGGACGACTTACTGTGACCCTTTCTCAAGCTTAACAGATCGCGAATCTGCTCGACTAAGAAACAACTAAGTCGTGCTCGTGAAAAATTTGATGAAAGTACTTCACATGTATAAACTACGCTTGAAACTGCGAAAATGATACGGAGAAGTTTCCAGCTTTCTGGATCGTACGATGTCATCAAGGATGTAACAGATTGGGAAAGTAAGTGAGCTTTTTTTTTCTTGACGAACTTAAAAGTACTATTCGAAAAAGAGTACATTTCTTTGTGGAAATATAGAGAACAGCTTTCGACTCAAGAGCAAAGTACTAGCTCAAATGCGATTTATTTGAGTGTACTTCGGTTTGTTTTTATCTCAATACGTGAGCTGGAAGACTGATAGGCATCGTTTAACCGAAACATTAATTTGGAGTACAAAAGCGGTGAATTTACGGCGATATTTGTATCAGCAAGTTGTTGTTTACATTCAACTGCGAATGAAGTGCAAGCGGAATATTAAAATTTCGAATCCCTTCAGTTCGAGCGTTGATTGAAGTGATCGAATATTTTTCCTTCCTTCTTTGGAATTTCCCGTTAAGTCTATATCTATATCGTGCATTCATGCTCGTTAATTTCCCTTAAATTTACCTTTAATAACTGCACACTTTATAATATACGTGACTCCTTTTCTTCGATATCGATATAAATACATTTAAGTGCGCGCGTTTTTTCAACATAATATTGGCAACTCTATTAAAAAAAAGTCGATTTTGTTCGTTTGCAGATTGTAAATTATGTTTCAAATACTTGTTAAAAAAAGCCTCCTTCCCTACTCTTGTTAAAAATCACTTAAATTATTTTGTCGACTCGAATTTCCTTGTAGAAGCACTCCCGTGAAGAAAAGTAATATGTTTTAGTGCAAATTAAACGTGATAAACATTTGGATGAAGTGTGGCTGGTAGCCGTCTTCGGTCTCAAACATATCATGTAAATAAGTGTATGTTGACAAAATGTTCTAACCTTTTCAGTTTTCATATTTCGTTGTAATAAGTTATTACTGTGATAAATCTGCGATGTAAATAGTTTTAAACGTGTGACTATCGATCAAAGTAATTTGTTCTAGTGCGAACCAGATAAACATTTGGATGAAATGTGGCTGGTAGCCGTCTTCGGTCTCAAACATATCATGTAAACAAGGGTATGTTGACAACATGTTCCAACCATTCAGTTTACATTTTTCGTTTTAATAAGTTTATTACTGTGATAATTCTGCGATGTAAATAGCTATACACGTGTGACTATCGATCAAATTCCACCACATCTTGTACATGTGATGTAATCTAAAGGTGTGTTTTTCGTATCCCGAGGAAATGGCTTTTTATCATCGATCGCCTGCGCAGTTTTAAGGCAGATTTCAGCGATCTGTCATCGAATAATTTCTCTTTCCGCCTCTCTTTAGCGTCGATAGTAAAACAAATGTTGTAACAGTTTTAGCTTTGTATGCATTGCTTTGCAGCAATTTTTATGTTTACATTTCCTCCCACTGTCATGGCGGTCTTGATATTTCATAACTTTAACGTGTAATTATGTTATCCACGTGTTTCGCAAAGATTTAGCTTGATTGTTGGTGTGGTTTGGCTGAAGACGGCCTTATTTTCATGAATAGCGTTTTTCAGATTTTCAAATTGATCGAAAAGGTGTTTGTAGCCAGTTTCAGAAGCAAATGAAACTACAAAGCTACACATTTGAAATTGATATTAGGAAATTCGATTAGCGTTTTGTATTGGATGTCCTAGGAATTTAATTGCGGGTCAATTCTGTTTGCTTTGTCATTGAAATAATAATCCCATTTGTCTGGTGGTGAAATGTTTTTCAATTTGAAATTTTCAACCACTTTCACATCATTTTTCTTTCTCCTTTCTTATAAATCAAAAGAAAAGAAATTGAACTGGTTTGGAAACTTTTTCACCAAGAAAGTTTACCACAAGATTTTTAAAATGTTGCAATTTAATTGCACAGAAGGAACAGTATTGATTGGCTTGGTGTTTGTCTCATAAAATGATCTGTTGTCTGAATGGAAGGTTTTCAGTTTTCGACTTTGGAAAGATTGTCAACTCTTTTGTACTTTGAACATTTTCCTTCTCTTTTGTCTAGACTAGAAATGTTTCTTATCAGGATTTGTTCTTAAAAATGGGCTTACCAAGGTTATTATTTGCAACTAACAACAGAGAACTAACTAAAAATGTCACCTGAAATATGTTATGAAAAGGAGCTGATTGGAAGTCACATGTTGCTTCCACATGCTTATCACATTGTCAACAGATAATATCAGGTTATGAGATACTTATCAATACTGGAAATTTATTTAATAATTCATTTAGGTAGCATTTCATTTCTTGACTGTCAACCCCAGACACCTGTTGACACATTCATATGAGAAAGCATCTGGTATGGCTTTTCAGTCAGCAACTTTGTCAGATTTTGTATCTCAACTAAACAAAGCTGATCCCTTTGCTGTGGATGAGTCATGATGTTTAGTATAACAAAACCAAGCATATTTGGTTCACTTATTGGACAGATTAGAAATGGTATGGGCTCAAGTTCTTGTCTCCAAGTGAACAAGTGAAATTACATTCTTTCCTTTAGAGAATGTTACATCCAAAGTGTTTTTTTTTAAACTTAGATATTATTGAATCAAAGTTGTGGTAGGTATAGCTAGGTGTGTCATGATTGATGTATAGCAGCATAATAGGAAGATGCCATTTCTGCTCTCATTTCCAACTCCTTAGAGTGTCAAATTTCAGTTTCACGAATCTTTATCTTTTTAATACAGTCTTTGTTACATTTGTTAAGTTATTGAAGGGGAGAATTTACAGAACAATGAAGAGCTCCATTAGTTGGTGATTATTTGACTGCAGTGTTTAATTCATCTGTTATATTTATTTGTTAGGAGAAGTTAGAAGCTAGTGGCTCTAAGGAGTTAAAGGGTCTCTGCATTTATATGTAGGGAAGAGTTGGAACAAGACCCAAAAGCTAAGAGACCCTCACCAACAAAGTTATGATATCCAAGCTTAAAAAGGAGTACTGTTACTTACCCCTAGTACACCAAAGGGTTCCCCCTGTTGTTTTGTCAGTATTCCCTGATAGTTTCCTAATACCCATTTATGCTCCTGTTTGGAGATGGGGGCTGTGAGTTAGTGTCTTGCCTAGGAACACAACGCAACCTCCTAAACCAGGGAGCAAACTTAGAACCCTTTGATGCAGGGTCTGTGCACAAACCACTGGAGAACCATGTCTACCATGGATGTTAGTTACAAACTAATTTTTCTTTTACAGCAATTGAAAAGTTGATTCAAGCCAGAGGAGAGACAAGTCCAGTTCTGACATCATTTGACCCATTGCACTCCCCCACAACAAAGGACCCTCCTGATCAATATACTTCAAATGCCTTGTCATACAGTCCTGTTAACAGCGGCACCAATAGTGCCACGTCAACACCGTCTTCGTCTACAAAACGCTCAACAAGGCGGAGGACAATGCTTTTCAGTTCATCGGTATGTGCCATGGTGTCCTTTATTTTATGTTGCACCATTTTAACCCTTGGCCAGACTCAAATGAAGTTGGCTTTGTAAAGTAGAAACAGTGTTTTACCATTGATGACTTAAAAAGGTTTAAATAACCTGGTTCCTACTTATACAAATACAAGAGGTAAAGCCAGCTAATGAGCTAGGGGGCCCATTGGTCAGGTACTTAACTCTAGTTTCCCTAGCATGAAGTGGCTAGGAGTATTTCTATTCCCCCCCCCCCCCTTGGATAGAGAGTGAGTCCATCACAGGGTATTCCCAGCATTAAATTTGCCGTTAGCCATTTTATTCTTCTGTGAAGACAAGCACTGTGAGAGTTAAGTGTCTTGCCCAAGAGCACAACACAATGTCCCCAGTCAAGGCTTGAACCTGGACCACTTGATATCCAGAGTCGAGTGCACTAACCATGAGGCCAACATGCCTCCCATGAGTACAAGAGTGATATACAAAATGAATTAATAAGCTGTGTAAAACAGTAAACACAAAAGATGTGCATGAAACTATTTGAACCAAAATTATGGAGATTTCAAGTTTTGGGGTGTGTCACTAAGAGAATTCCTTGCACAAAGTATTTTAATTGTACGGAGTATTTAATTACTGTATTTAACAGGTGTATGTAAAGGTTTTTGTTTTTACTTGAAAAACAAATATACTTTTGCAGAAAGAGAAGAAGGAAAAAGATACTGTGATAGACACAGATGTGGGGAGTGGAAGATCAATCCCCATAAGACAGGTATGGGACAACTTGGGATCAATTTTGAAATTCTCATTGATTTTACAAATGTTCTGATGTATAATCTTCTGATAGCTTGACTGGGGGTTGTTCTGTGAATGACTGTTGCTTGTTATGAGGTTTGACAGCCTACAGCGAGTGCGTCATTGTTAGAGTCGACTGATTTATGCCTAGGTTGTTGAAATTTTTGTTACTTACTTTGTATGAGTACCCTCAGTTATATGATGCCAGCAAGTAAGTCCTTCATCTAATGATAAAAACCAACATTTTGATCGTTGTCCATGGGAAGTGCAAAAACAAATTCCCAGCAAGGGTGTCAGAAAGTCATTGTCATTGTCATTGAGATTGAAAAAGTGTAAAACCTGAACTTGTTTAAGTTAGAGAAAGTTTCTTGTTAAAATGAAATTGAATTGCATTTAAGGTTCTCGTAGCATAGGTGGATCACTCTTTATGACCATTTACATACTTTCTTCACTTCCCAAGAGCAAAGATGAGCCAGCTATAGTCAAAGTGTATCAACATGGCTCTTATTTCAATCAAAATGAAAATTAATGTTCATTGCTTTTTAGGGTTATCTTCTAAAAAGAAGCTCCAGCTCTATCAATAAAGAATGGAAGAAGAAATATGTAACACTTTTAGAAGATGGGGTGCTTGCATATTACCCAAATCTCCATGTAAGTGTCAGTCAGAGGTCAATTTTTTTTCTTCTTTCAAGCTTCTTTGGCATCTTATCCTTGCTCAAAATAGAACAATCAGAGGAGGTGAAGACCATAAGCCAGACTAACTTGTACAACTTTTGATGCTTGTGTGGGCTTCTGTAACAAGAGAAAATTGAAAGTATAGTGATTTCTTCTAGGTATTACCATATGGAGTCACTAAGTTGGGTTACCTCAAAGCTTTTTGTCAAGTTTCCCTTGCAGTTTTCAGGTGATCATTTGTAACCCCAAGTATAGAGAGATACTGACAGGGTAAATTGTTTTGGCCAAGGAGACCACACATCTAGTACCTTAGTCCTGGGTGAAACTGAAACCTTGTGAACTGGAGTCTTCCCTAATAGACAGTGGGTCACAGGCCAATGAGTCTCACTGACAAGAATTATTAATTGGTCTGCATTTCATTGTGCTTAGGATTATATGGATGATGTTCATGTGAAGACAATAATATTAAAACATACGACAGTTAAAGTTCCTGGGAAAAGGCCACCAAAAGCAACGACTTCTTCTCAAGGTAGGACATTCTCTTGAATTTACAGTATGTTATAGGAAGAGTGTAGGTTAAACGATGACGTGAATGATACTGGCGTACTCGAAAAAAGGAACTCTGGAAGCTCCCCGTGTGTTTGGTTATTAGTAAGGGGCAGTTGCTTGAAAAGGAAATCTTTAAACATCAAGATACATGTGGAAGGATTTGAAGGAGATGCTGTGTGTGCGTGTGTGTGTGTGTGTGTGCGTGTGTGTGTGTGTGTGTGTGTGGGTGGGTGGGTGCGTGCGTGCGCGCGTGCGTGAAGTCAGGTTTTCCTGTGTATCTTACCGGATTTGGTACTAGGATGAAATGGAATCTTTTGCCAGATGAGGCAGAATAATCTGAAGGAAAGACTATGTATTCAAGGACTCAGGATGTGGTTTTCTTTTTGTAATAACGGGAAAGATGCCCATGGGCTTATCACAGGTAATACTTTGAAAAATAAATCAGCTGCGTTTCTAACTCTTCGATCAAACTTCCGCCACAGTGGACAAGTACATGAAACCTGTTTAACCCTAAGTTTTAGCACTCCCTTGTTGGATATCACTCCAAAGCAAACTTCTGTCTCATTTAAGTGTACTTTCAGCATTACATGAGGGTTGGGAGGGACACGAAATATAAGTATAAATATAAATAATAAATATAAATATATATATATATATTTCTGCAAGACATTTGACCAAGGTTTTAGGTGCAAATGAAACTTGAAACCCATGTATGTTGTACAAGGTATGCAACGATTTTCTTTGGTTATATTAGGTGATTCAAGACCAACAACTCCAGTGGAGTCAGATAATAATAACAGTGGTGCAGAAAACGCAGGACTGAACAGCGTTGACGGTGTACAAAATGGAATTGACTCGTACAGTGGTTACAACTCTCTCCCCTCACAACACGACATTGACAACGCCATTGCCAGTATAGGCACCCAAGTCATTACACCTGTATCGGCAAATGCTGGAGCGAACGCGACAAAAATGGAATCATCGAGTGTCATAAAGAAAAAGAATAAGAGAAGTAAACACACAAAATCTTGTGAAATAGACTATGATGAGCTGGAGAAAGCTCTCGCTATTGCTGCAGCCAATGCAGCGGTTCCGGCAGGTTCAAGGGTGGATCCAATGCAAGTGGGAACAGGGAGTGCAAAAAAGAAGGAGAAGGGTCACAGGCGCGTCAAAAGCGGCAATGGACCCAAAGTTGATTTAGATCCAGGTAATTCTACTATTACAGTCGAAAGTGTATCAAGCGGTCAACCACGGGGAGATTCTTATCAATACCGCTTATTATTATATAGCTTTGTCTCACAAGGACTGGGAACTACCGAATTTACGAATTTGATTAGCTGAAATCAATATTGAAAGCGGTCTAGATTTTCCCATCTAGACCGGCATCTAGACCGGTCTAGAAAAAATAGGTGCAAAGAATAGAAAAAATTGGCATATAAGACACAGCCATACAGTAAACATCTTATTAACCGAGCTAGGTGGGTCTGTATGGGAGAATCTTGACCTCGGTCGCTCGAACAGACCTCACTGCGTTCGGTCTGTACTGGCGACCTCGGTCAAGATTCTCCCATACAGACCTCCCGCTCGATTAATAAGAACTAAATACAGGTTGACTGCTCAATGCAGGTTCCACAGAGAAGGGTTGTTATAAAACACGTCATTTTATCCCATATTTGACCTCTTTACTTACAAACACTCGCTCAAAAATACTAGATTGATTTTGGGAGATAAAAAATATGGATTAAATTGTAGTTGAATGATTGTTCTTAGCTTGAGTTAAGCGGTTCTGCTCTGAGTAACCTTTCAATACAGATTGAAGAAATAGAAACAGGCCGTTGGGACTCATTCAAAGGCATAATAGAGGTGATCGCTTAAAGGTGAAAAATAAAAGTGATTAAGGGGAAAATTGGAGACTTTGAAAACTGAGCGCTTAATCCGGGGTGACCGCTTAATACGATGTTACTTAGTACAGGTTTGGCTGTGTTCATGTATGTATGATATGAAATGAGTCATACGATACTGCAAGTTTATGCCAAACCCCTTAAGTATCATAAGAGTTTGACACGACGACGTACCGTGTTTACTTGGACATACGCTGAGTGATTTTTTTACCCAAGTTGAAGCCAGTCTTAGGCTAAGTGTGAGCGTTAGGAAAGTTCGCGGCTTATAGCTGAGAGTTTTTGTTAAAAAAAAAAAAGTTTTCCAGCGCATTGAAACGATACCAAGTTAACACTTTCTAACATTGTTACAGAAATGACAGACTGGGAGTTCACTATTGTGTCATTAGAGGCAAAATCGTGGCAGTTTGCAGCAGCTACGCAAGAGGTAATCTACTCAATTTATGTATTCTTAGTGTAGTTTAGACTAACCCAATCGATCAGATCGAAAGCGGAGAAAAGTGAAGATATAAAACAAAAAGCTCCAAAAGGGATGCGGGTCAGACCAAGCTACATGTATTTTATTCTCGGTTTGTGGCTCTTCACCCAGTTCTCTAGGTTCTAGGTTGTCAACTTTCAGGTGATGATAAAAGTTTTTCCACTGTAGGAAAGAGATGCTTGGGTGCAGTTAATCGAACAACAGATTTTGTCCTGTTTGCAGTCAAATGAGAGCGGAAGAGAAAAGGTACAATTACAAAAAAAATAATAACAATAATGCTTTTTTATTCAGCTGCGCTACGAAAAATTTAAAGCTCACTTTTTAGATGTGATATTTCCCTTTAACTCACTTCTTTCTGTTTTAGTCACGTGGTAATAGCAGTTCTTCAACGAATGGTCAGAACATGCAATCGATAAGGAACATGGAGGGGAACGAAGTTTGTGTAGACTGTGGTGCACCAAGTAAGTTGGTATTCCTGCTTTACTGTAACTGTTTCATGACAAGTATGGCTTTATTTGGAAATCCAAGGACTTATAAGTGTAGCTTACCTCACTGGGGGTAACCTAGACACTACTTATTTCAGTCCGAATTTTTTTCTGCCTGTTCTGATTTTTCTCGGCCCGTTGTCTCGCCCATGTATTTTGGCATCAGAGCAAGTTTAGAATTTAAAAGCATATGCGCAGACTAGCTCGGTCATGAGTTCGAGTCCTTTCTAAAGAACAGGTATGAGAAGAGCTGGGCAGTCAATGCAAAGGTTTTTGTGGAGTTGTACCTTAGATCTCGTTGTTCTCGTTTAGCATATTGTTCGTCAGGCAAAGTTGTGGTATTCCCATTGAGAAATGCTTTTGTAACGTCCCATATCAGGTCCTGACTGGGCATCGCTGAACCTCGGGGCCCTGATGTGCATAGAATGTTCCGGAATCCACAGGAACTTAGGAACACACGTGTCTAGAGTACGGTCGTTGGACTTGGATGATTGGCCGTAAGTATTAAAAACAAACCAACATTTTGTATAAATCCCAGTTATGTGTGGAGTTAATCCAGGCTTTCGTTGGTTTTACTCCGCTACGCTTTGCGATAGGTTAAGGAAACTTGCGCTACCTTTTGTTCTCAGCCAATCAGATGCAAAACTAAAAACCAATCGCCACCTGTTTACTTGTTTTAATCGCGCGTCTCAGTCAGATAGCTTTTTTCCACTTTGAGTTTTCATAAGTACTTTAAAACAATTTCCCGTTTTCAGATTAGTCATTAAAGTTAGTTTTGTTTTGTCTCTTAAATACTTACTCAAATTGCACACTGACATGTTTTCTACGTATGAGTGGTATGAAGTCCGTAAAGATTTCATTGGGATATTGTGATTTTGTGCAATTCTATTTTGTTGCAGGTCGGAGCTCACTGCTGTCATCAGTGCGATCGGTAACACACTTGCTAACAGCGTATGGGAAGGAAGAATACAAAATAAAACAAAACCAACATCTTCGTCAACAAGGTTAAAAATACATCTTGTAGCAATTTAGGTCATAGGTGACGTGAAGTGACTTCAGCAAGGTCACCTCGCGCACACATGTATCACGGTTTCTTACACCCATTTTGAAATCCTTTGTGAACCTTGCAATCTAATTGGCTCTCAGCGGTGAAATTTTTTCACAATTGCACCATTTTATGTTCTAAATCACATCTTTTCCCCAGCTAATGAGACAGCATTACCACAGCACAACAACCAATCAGATTTTAAGGCTTGTTTAAGCAACCAATCAAATTTTAAGGCTTGTTTAAGCAACCAATCAAATTTTAAGGCTTGTTTAAGCAACCAATAAAATTTTAAGGCTTATTTAAGCAATCAATCAAATTGCAGGAAAATGAGAGACAACTTTTTACAAACCATCTCAATAAACAAGATCAATGAAATATTTGTACAGACTAAGGAAACTTGTCTTGAGTGACTGAATTATGCGATTTCAAAGTGGCTTTAGTAAAGTGGTAACTGAACTTCGAGTCCCGCAATTTTGGTCTGAAATCAAACTTGTAGTTCCAAATCACCCGTATGATTTCAGACGTAATAATATACATGAAAAAATTTCTCAGTTCTGGATGGTTAAGATGAATGCAGTTTTCAGTTAATTCAGTGCAGAAGAGGGTTAATTCAGTGCAAAGAAAGAAACAAACCAGACATTCTGATTGGTCAGAATGATTGGTCAATGTCAAGGTCAACGTCACTTGCAGGGTTTGAATAAATTATTTTTGCACGTGATGCGCGCGCTTTTCTTCTGCGTAGTTATGAGAAGCTACCTCGTATTTTTTCATGTATATTATTAATAGATAATCACATGATTTTCTCGTGCAATTTGGAATAAATAAGCACTTGTAAATTTTTTCAAACACCACAAATTGCACTCGCCCTACGGGCTCATGCAATTTTGTTAGTCTTTGAAAAAATTTACTCGTGCTTATTTATTCCAAATTGCACTCGAAATCATGTGATTACCTGTACAACTTGCACTCCACTCAGTTCAATTATCATTATTAATAACGTTTGTTCGCTTGAGGTAACGAAGGCTAACGTCACTATAACTCACGCAAAGTCACGTGTCACACAAGGACATAGTATGGCGCAAGACAGAACATTAGTTTTCGGCTCACTTCTTTTTTCTACCATTCAATTTTCTGACCTACCCTTCCTTCTATATACAAAATATTAAATAGTTCAAATTTAGTTTCAATTTTTTTTCATCTTTAGAGAAGAGAAAGAAAAATGGGTCCGGGCTAAGTATGAAACAAAAGAATTTCTTTGTGAGCTTCCGCCGAGTGATTTCTCTTTGGGCGAAGTAAGTACATTTTCATTTTTATTGAGAATGAAGAGTAATTATGACATTCCACCTAAATATTGAGATATGTCCATAAATTCATGCAGTAACGAAAATGGCGAAATTTTGTCAAAATCTTCAAATCCTCCAAGCTGATTTCGTTTTGACGAATCATCTCCTTTAGGGGCAATCTAGCCTGGGAATAGAGCCATTGCTAAACACTCTAGCCCAGTGGATTGTTGGGGCTGGCGCATGCGTGTCGCCTTCCTCTTGTCATTTCATATCATGTAAACCAAGTTTTATCGCGTTTGAAATAAGCCACAGATTGTGTGCAGAGGCTCAACTGTTTCAAATGCTTCGTATAACTGTCAGGAAAAACTTTATAGAATGATCTCAATTATGAAGTAGGCTTTTGGAAAAATAATTTCAACCACTGATTGAGTTGAGTCACTGCGGGTGGTGGAGGACTTACGTGCAGACACGTAACAGATACACATGGCGACCGTAAGGATAATGCAATCACATATGGCGCTTTTTAACGTCAGTCAATCACGTTTGGTGCGGTTAAACGCCAATCAATCACATATGGCGCGTTTTAACGTCAATCAATCTACTTTAAAGCCCTTGTTTTCACCTTTGTTTTTTAAGGAAACAGCATCAGCAAAACATCCTTGTCAACTGTCAAGGAAGAGAACTCTCGATTTACGTCCCAAAAAAATTATTTCTGCTTAAGTTTGGATTTTTCTTTCCTTTTGACAGCAACTATTGGAGGCTGTAATGAGAGAGGACCTGCCTCAGTGCATACTTCTGTTGGCTCACTGTTCTCCCGAGGATCTCAACATAGCTAATGAAGACAGACAGGGCTGCAACGCTCTTCACATCAGCTGCTCGTTAGGAAATATTGTTATAACACAGCTTCTTATATGGGTGAGTCCCAGTTAAAAATCATTCAGAAAAGATAAGCCAAAGAAAACTGATTAGGCAATGTGAAGCTGGCCTCTTCCCTCACGAAAATTGGAAAACAAGGCGTCTGTTATTTCGATTTTTTGTGTGTGGAGAGAGCGGTGGTTCATAGGCTAGGAACGCGCTTAACTACAAAGCTATTAGTAACGAACCCCTTTCCAAAATGGTGCCCAAAATGGTAATCTGAATTTGAAATTCAGTGCGGTAGCTTTCACATGGCAAGAAAAGACATTTTGAAATGATATATATTAAAAATGACAAGTTCTTGCAAGGTATATCATGGAAGAAATCTCAACCTGAAATTGTCCATATTCAGACGGTTGTATGACCAGGGATATGTTATTACTATGACATACACCTCAATCGTAACAACTGAAGTCTGCGACTTTTCTTTAATTTTATGGCTGAAATCCCAACACGTGGCTTCCTCAACCTTTGGAAAAAATTAGCAAGTAAAGGATGCTTCATTGGTAACCATACGAATTTCCTGTGTAGTTCAGTGTGGAGTTGTCTAAATGTCAATATTCTGTTTCCTTTCCAGTATTTTGCTGATGTGCGGATTCTTGACGGTCAAGGTCGATCAGCTCTGTGGCACGCAAAGAGTGCTGGGAGCAAAGAGTGTGCCGACATATTACGTCATAATGGTTGTAATGACCTCGGTACCATGATTCCTCTGGGGAGTGATGTGTTCTGCTGACGATGTTAAATTACGTGGACTTGTTGACTCGTGAAGGAAAAAAAAAAGTCAAACTAAGGATTCATAGTAACGGAAAGTTTTTACGTGGCACCATCTCATCAACGTGTGACGTGTGTTGTCTGGGTGTTGATCTAGTGGTGACAGCGACGCGGTTAGCGTGCTTTGTGATTCAGCGGCGTCGCACTTTGAAGCTACTTTGTTGGACAGAGCTGAATAATGAAATGCCACGTCAGCGGGTATGCGGTCAACAACGCGGGCTCAAGTGTCCTAGGTCTAATATTTAGCGGAAAATAATAAGGGCTGACCTTTAAAACCGAAGAACTCTGTTTTCGTCGAAGGCACTTTCCTATTTCCAAAGGTTTAAAGGCGAAAATTAATTTTTGAAAATTTTTAGGGAGTGTACCAAATTTTTGGAGGTGGTTCTGTAAAAGAAAAGCGGCAAGGAAAACGACGCCTCGAAGCAACAGAATAGGAAATCAACCATGCGAACGACTCAAAATCCGTTTTTCCGCGGCAAAACCTGGCGCATGCGTATACGTTATTCAGCTCTGTCACAGTTGTCTTTTGTGCGCATTTTTGCAAGACGTCATAACCATTTTAAAAATTCAGAGTATCATGGTGTTTGTCATTGATCTCGTTTTGGTTACAAGAGCCTCCATGATGCCAAAAATTATCCAAGAAACCGCCAAACAGAGATAAAATTTACAATTGTGCAAAAAAAAAAAAAAAAGAGCTTTAAGAGTTGTATTTATTTGTTCTGAGAATGTATATGTTATTGATCTGTACATAAAATAAAAAAAAAAATATTTCCTCTATGCTTTAGGTTGAATATTCTATACAAATAATTACTATATCCAAGGGGTGGAACATTAAGAAGAAATACTTAACTCAAGATAAATATGAAGTTGTAAGGATTTCTTCCTCAAGGAGAGGAATGCTTTTTAATCATTCATTTTTTTATTACGTTCATTGGCGTTCGTCCTTCTTACAAATGTTATTCTGGCAACTCCACTCTGTTCATTCTTCATTTTTTTTTTTTTTCAAAAATAAATGAAATATGAAATTTGTTGACTACAATATTTCTGTCTGTTATTAGAATATGAGTTAAGACATCTGCTCTCTACTTTGCATAAGAAAAATCAATCTTGGTCACTCTGGCATTAATTTTGTACTTATGCAGTACAAGATTAAAAGCATGAACTTTTGCTTATACCCCTTCGGCCAAATTTAGCCCGCTTGCAGGCGGTAGTTTGCATTTTCAAGCGCGAGGTTAAGCGCGGCGAATATTCGGTGGACATATTGGACGGGTAGAAGATTAGGGACGAGTGGCAAAGCGAGGGGGGGAAGGAACTTTACTCCTTTCCCCTCTTCCCATCGCTTTGTCGCTCGTCCCAGATTTTCCACCTTCCATTATGTCGCCGCGCTGTCTCGCGCTTGAAAACAAACTATCGCCTGCAAGCAGGCTAGTCTATATTTGACCACGACCATGCGTCTGCATTCAGTCATGTGGCACGGCCGTTTCCTTCGGTTACGTCACCAATGAGCGTTGACCGTGAGAGTCTGGGAGAAAGCAGTACAGGAACTATGATGTTTTAAGTGACGTCACGGGGTCGACAGTCAGGCAGGTTACAACGGCTTTCTTAGCAGGATTAATTGCTGAAAGTACGATCGACAGGAGGGTAACAAAACGGGCGGAGACTTTCACAGATACACATAAAATCCATCACAGCCTGGATAAGTATCCAGCAAATTGGCCAGCTTGTTGTTTTTGCTGAGCTGAAGAGAGAACGTTCTTATAAGTCACTATATTCGGTTTGAATTTGTTACTTAGAATTCTGAATCTTAAAATAAAAAACCTGGAGTAAGTCGCCTGTGTTGACATGCGCAACGAAATTAAGATGTAAAGTTTATTCTCTTTGAGATGCAATGAATATATGAAGTTCATACGTATTTATTCTCTTTGTGAGGACTTGTGACTGACGAAAGACGTAGACCAAGGTAACAAAGAAGACTAGGAAGATAATGGCAAAAAATGAAAAAAAAAAAACTCACTAGTTTTTACACTCAGGGAAACCCTATTCCCGAAATGGTCAATAAAGACGTGTTCCGCACAACAAACGTAAGAAAAGAGTATGGCAGTCAAAGAGAAGAATTGAAAATGGTTCATCGGGGTGAAGGTGTTCAAAAGTTTTTTCATAGTATGCCGGCTTAATGCCTAGCCGTGCAAAGTTGTCTTGAAATGCGCTCTAATGCGTACAATTTAGAGAGTGTACGCCAAGGATACCCTGGGACATTTGCGCTTTTAAAAGCATGGATTTTGCAGCTTCCCTCCTCGCGTGAAAACCCTGTGGCTTCCATGTCAAGCCACGTACGGACAATCAGGCCGGAATTGCTCCCAGCTACAACCTTTTACGCATTCCCGAGAGAATTCAAGAATGTTTGAAGCCTCTACCTTCATTTTGATGACCTTGGTGTCTCCGCGAACTTTGCAGACTGGAGTTATGATAGCTCCATCTCGCTTCGTCTCCTTGTGATTAGATGCACTATTTGTGGCGTCAGCCTTAAAGAAAAATGGTGGGAAAGTTTAAGATATGACGGCCATAAATTGTAAAAGTGGAGCTCCTGTTCAAAAAATGCGCAAATGAAGCCACATACTTATGAAAATGTGATAACCCTACGAGGCCGAATAGACATTGTTTTAGGAATTAACCGTATGAATATCCGTAAGCAGAAGTTTATTTCTCCGTGAGCAGAAATTTATTTCAAATGCAAGACAAGCTCACCCTGTAATAATATATCCGATAACTGTTTGTTTACCAATTTGCTCATACATTACGTTATATAACTTTCTCGAAAAATGCGACAATGATTGCGATACCTGTTGATCTTTGTTATCATCCATGTGATTATCATGCGCGGGTGCAACTGACACTTCTTTATTTTTTATCCCACTACTCTCAGATGGCGTCAAACCTGCTTTGTTTTCGTCAGCGCCTTTGGTGGCTGAAGATGTCTCCTTTCCACCAGCTTTCCTCGAGGAATTCAATTCTGCTTCCCATTCTTTCATCAGACTTAGTGGTACCCTAGTTCCATCTCTGATCTGTCTTAACCAAATATCATTTTTCCGCGTGCGCTCTCTCATCAGTGCGTTTAACCGCCGACAACTCTGCCAGGAAGACTGAACATTTTGCACCATTTCCTGCTTTTGTCGATTTATCCTCTCCTTTTCGGCTTTTCTATGGGCTCGGCTTTGAGCTCTTGCCCTTTGTATCCTCATTAAGATTTGATCGGCATCAGCGGCCATGGAGCGGATTATAGCCAGGCGCTCACAATCGGAACTTTTAATTTTATCAACCATGGCTTTAATTTGGGAGCCTTTCAAATTAATTGGGCGCGCAGTCTTGGCAATCTTGGCAGTCTTGGACGGCGATGGCCTTTGTGACGTCAATCTACGATCACCTTTTACCTGACATCGAACCAATGGCAATCGTGATTTCTTCGACGACGGCTTTTTTAGCTGAAGTAAAAAAAATTGGCATCAGTTCCTTATGTGACTCGATTATCTTTTCATATATAGAGTGACAGAGCTTCAAAGTAATAAAGGCCGGGGCAGATATGCACTTTTCTTTCAAATGTCTTGTACAGCTTCGACTCAAGTAAAAACGCCAAAAAATATTGCATGGAAAAAGCATAATTTGTAACTGTAGCAGCCAATTTAAAATACCTAAGTGTAGTTAGATTCAAGAACAATGTGTGCAAAATGGTTAAGTATGATAGCGAACCGCACTCTGGTATGACGGGGGCTAACGTCCTTCCGAGGAAAATTGTTTTTGAGTTTAACTGAATGAAACTCGTGCCAATAATAATTCTCTCAATTGATTATGTACCAATCAAATTGAAGGCTTTGTGGATTCTTTAACATCAGTTGGAATTTCTCATCCCTTTCGTAAACCAAAAAAATTATCGGTAAACTTACATGAATAAAATATCTGCCGCGTGGCGTTCAATCTAAATAACAATCTAACACGAGAGCAAATGAAAAATATAATGCCGTGAGGCGATGGTGTAGTTTTGGGTTAGGCATGATTAATTTTAAAACCATAGGTCCAAACGAAAAAAAAAAAAAAAATCTAGAACGGTTTACGACAGTAACTGCCAGTTTCAGATTAAGGATCACTTACCAGTCGGCTTATGCCTAAATCTATCAGAAATGAGACAAAACCCGCTAAGATTAAAAATGCTGCGATAATCAAAACTCCCGAGTAAAACAACCATTCGTAAACTTGAAACATCAGCTCGTGGTAAGGCATTTTGATACCACAATCGAGGGAATATTCTCCACTCGCTCAATCGCATCCAAATTGACTCTTATCGTGTCACTGAAAAATAAGATTGATGACGCGTTCGTTACGTCATAATAACAACATAACGTCATCCCAGTATATGAGTTGTTTATCAGTATTATAACCTGCGCGCCAGGGCTTGGTAAACTGATGAGGTAAAATTCCATGAATTTCTAGGTGTTCCATGATTGAAAAACCAAAGTAAATTAAAAAAAGAAAAGAAGAGAAAAAGAAAAAGGACAACTCAGAACTCTAGACAATTAAAGGTCTAAAAAAGGAGACAAATTTATTTCTCGTAACTGTTCAGCAGCGCTCCACAATACTGTGCTTCTTTCGATGTAACAAAATTCTTGCTGATAGCAAGGCTTTGAAAGGTCAAATAACGGAGACAGAACCAGCAGGTTTATTCATTTCCTTGGAAATGTCCTTCAAGTCTCATTAACAGTCCCCTCTTTACTACAATGAAAGAGGTCCATTGGGTAACTTTTCTTAAGTTATTTTCCACGTAGCATTTTGTTCGCTGCAAACAAGTAATTCATCTATGTTAGTCACGTCTTCTATGTCCACTCGAATTTCATTACCTCGATAAGCTATGCAAGTTACGTGCAAAACCCTGCAGTAACTGAGGTTTCTGTCGTTACAGTTTCCCCGCAAACGGGCGACTCTGACCAGCAAAGTTCCTTTTTTTCATTGTTTTCGTCTCTTTTGATTTTTGCAATGTGCATTCTGCTTTTCAACGCATCAAAGTAGCTTCCAGAGCTTTACTAAGAGAGTAAGAGGCCTGTTAACTTAAAAGAAATATCAAGGATAGCCTTGTTCCCAGGTTTCTCACAGACGACAGACCTGAGAACAAAACCACCAAGCGTCAGTCGACCCGACCATCCGCGACCATGAAGATTACATGTTTACCAGATATCTCACTTTGAGACCCAACCATTTTGCTATTTTTTGCGATTTTAGACACTCAGTTGTCGTTTCATGACGCATCGAAATAAAGACCAAACTCCAATCTGAGTTAGCTTACACCATAGTTCTCACAATAAGTAACAATTTGTACAATTCGCCTTTCTACAGCATAGCTCTCTCTTAATCAAGTCTTTTCAAATGTCTCTATTCCAAATAAACAATTAATCGAAACATTTAGCAAAGGCTAAGCCCGAATACCATCAATTTCTTTCTTTTTCCACTTTTTTACAAAACAATACCACAATAAACATTATGTACTCTTATAATCTGTACGAAGTTGTGTAACTGACACACCCATCACTTTTTCCGGGTGATTCTGTCTTTTCCCTTCCGTATCCGCCAGAAATGATCACGAATAAAACAACCAACCGCATTACACCAGCGAACTACCCTCAATCTGTCTAATATCTAACATTAACAATAAACAGAGTACGAAAAAAAAACTGTGCGTAGTTTGCACCAAATTAGTTCATGTGCATATCTTACTTGCACTCTCTTGTCTTATAAATTTTTTATTCAAATTTTTAATTTAAATGTTGTCCGGACACAAAAATCTGCGCCAGTCGTCTTGCCGTTTTGATTCAATGGCTCCTTCTTAATGACTCAAATGATTCCTCGTTGACTAGTTTAAAATTTCTCAAACTAGAAAGGGCTTCCTTATACTCAAAGATATTTGCAATTTAAACTTGACGTTTATGGACGTTTTGGCAGTACGGCCAAAAAATTAACCCAACGCAAATGGGATAAAATCTCGAAGAGATCCACTTAGAGGCACACCAAGGTGAAAAGGTGTGAACACTTAAAGGTGGAAAATACTTCTCCAAATTATTACGGCCGATGAACTCCTTGATTTCGGATAAGCCTCTCCTGAAAAGCTTGAATCCAAATGAAGAAGAATCCCTACTCCATGAAATGACGAGAAGGAGAACTTTTCATAAAACCTTTTTCGACTCATCTAAGATGTCACGGCATGGGTGGAGGGGGTGGGGGTGGGGGCGATGATGGCTCAGGTTCAGGGGGTGGAGGAGGGGGGACCATTCCTTGCATTATTCCTGACATCAAGCTGCCGGGCATCATACCAGGTGGAAAACCAGACGGTAAGAATTGACCAGAAAATTGGCCAGCCGAAGGTGGATGCATTTCTGCACTTGGAAAACCAACTGGAGTGTTCAGTGAAGAGAGTAGGTTAAATTCCATCGGAGGTGGGGGAGGGGGTGGTGGGGGTGTCAATGGCTTAGCCAGTGCTTGAGACGAAGAAGTTAACATTGGTGCAGGGTTTACGGAGTGTTTTTTAGTTACTTGTATTGCAGTAGCAAGTGGTTTATGTGACGAGGAATGGCCGTGCCCGTGGTGAGACGATGGCTTGTGGCTTGAAGACCCGTGTTGAGATGAAGGGTGTGGTTTCTTGGAGGAAGAGTGAGAATGAGAGGAATGAGAGGAGCTTAGCGAAGCTTGAGAAGAGGAATGGTGAGGTGGGTGTGGCAGTTTGACGGCATGGCTTGAGCCGGAGCTGGCGCTTTTGTGATGAGAAGACGACGACGCAGAAGGATGAGAATGTTTGACGCTCTTAGACGGAGAGGAGTCAGACGACTGCGAAGACCCGCTGGGCGTACGATGAGACGATGAATGCGCGCGCTGCGAATGAGAATGCGAAGATTTGTGTTTCTTAGCGGGAGTTCCGTCATCCTGAAGGTGATGATGGTGGTGCTTATGTTTGCGGGATGATTCCTTCGTGGACAGTAAGGCTCCTGAAGTTGAATGAGCTGTAGATGTTGTCGTTTTGGATTCACTACCTGACGTCTGACCAGCTGTCGTTACCGTTGCATATTTGGACGTTAGGGGAGGAAGCGGCGGTAAGATGGGAGGCATCGCTGTTAAGGAAGCTGAAGAGCTTGCCGCACTTGACGCGGTCACCGTGGAAGAAACTGGCAACGGTTTGAGTTTAAGCGATTCCTTCCGTTTCTCTTTCTCTCTTTCCTTGTCTTTCTCAGTCTTTTGCCTGTGCGATGATTTGCCATCGAGATCATTTCGTAACTTTACTGCATCGCTATATGAATAGCCATTCTGAGCTCCGTCGATGCTGTTATGAGCCGTGGCTGATGAAGATGCTCCCGAACTGCTGCTTGCAGTGCTGCTTAATTTACTTGACTCTCCTTTGGACACCTTACTGTGAGACACCCCCTAAGAACAAAGCAAAACCAAACGCATATCAAAAGGACATCTTATCGCGATAGACATTGCTCTACACGGTAATCGGTCAAGTCGCCCAAGAGTCATCTTGCCCGAAGTCATGTCGCCCGAAACCTAAGGGCGACTTGACTTTTTTTTCGGGCGACATGACTAAAATGTCGGGCAATGACTCGAGTTTCGCAGCTCCGTAAAAAGGGAAAGAGCTCAAATAAAATCCAAAAGTTATGAATCCAAAAGTTATGAATCGTGGATAACGAAACGCTTTTCGCTCATGGCTTTCGCCGAGACAGGAACTTTCAATATTAACGATGGAAGAAATGCGAATAAAAACTATTTGCAAAGCCAATAGAGACCAAATTTATGCTGGCAGGCAGTAAAAGAATGCTATCCTTATTTGAAGACTTTGAGTTGCAACCAAATGGTGCACAAATCGATCGCGTG